GTCTAAGTGTCATTGAATAGTTAAGACTTAAGACTTGTATTACTCACTCTATAGATGATCACACATATTTTTATTTCATGGTTTCACTCATTGCTTACCATGCACACTAGTACGTAATGTAGTGCACTCTTATTAATTGGTCAGTATATGAGTAACTTACATGCTAGAAGTTTGCTCATGAGACCAAATATATTGTGGTAAGCACTTAGTACGTAATGTAGTGCACTCTTATGAACTGGTCAGTACATGAGTAACTTAGATGCTAGAAGTTTGCTCATGAGACCAAATATATTTGTTAATGCTCAAATATATCTTGTTAAGTTATGCTTGGAGCTAAACCTTGAACAGCACGAGCACTAAGCCCACACTATATATTCTCCACTATAAACATACACATTTAATTACTGCCGGAATAAGAAAACAAGCAACCTTCTCAATGCAATATGTGTAGAAACCCATGCTCAACAAGGCTAAACAATTTAAATCAAGCATGTAGTGCCAATAACAAGATCATTCTAATCACGCGAAGTAGGAATGCATACCAAGCAATTAACTATGTGATTGAAATGCTTTCGCAATACAGAAAAGAAAATCGTTTTTCCTGCACCAAATAGTTCGAGCAAGAGATTGAGTACTTCAAGCCATGCAAACATGCTGATTCAAGAATTCCTAGCATAGTCGATATTTCAACATACCTAGCAAGTCTGAAGTATTATCAGCCTCAAGCAATTCAAGAAATTCAAGCATTTCAGTTGACTCAGGAAACCTCAATCAAAGTCAACAGAGCCCACACACCCTTTACCTTTTAGGTTTGAGTTAGCTACCAAACACATGTTAATTGTTTACTATAACCATAGCTTCTGTAACATCCCACATCGACCAATGGAGAGAGGATGATGTGCTTTATATATACATGCCCACCTCCATATAGCAGAAGGCCTTCTGAGAGCTCACTAGCTTCGGATTCCATCGGAACTCCGAAGTTAAGCGAGTTCGGGCGAGAGCATTCCCAGGATGGGTGATCAACTAGGAAGTTTTCGTCTGAGTTCCCAGAAAGAAAATCATGAGGGCATGGCCCAAAACGGACAACATCGTGCTACGACAGAGTCGGGACTAGGATGTGACAGCTTCTCTGCCTAGATTTACTTGTTTTTTTTGCCCTACTGTTTCCACTACATTTTTGCATGCTAAGCACCCTCATGCCTTCACATCCTAAAAAATACCATTTTTCATCAGAAACTTTATGCGAACACCTTTTCCACCAGCAACTTTATGTGAACATCCTTTCCACCAGCAAGTTTATAGGAACACCATTTCCACCAACAACTTTATGCGAACACTATTTCCACTAGCAACTCTATACAAACATCACTTCTACCAGTAATCACATTCAAAATCATAATTATGCTTTATCTAGGACAATTCGAACAAATTTTTACAATATCGACGCAAGCTTCCTCCATCACCAAAACCATTGTTGAGACCCAAACTTCATTTGTGGCCAAACCTAAAGAACTATAACCCGATCTTGACATGCCAAAGATTTTATGATGACCAAGCACATGATGAATGAAATTTTTATAACGTGAAAGTTCAACCGACTTATGCTAAAGTGTCATGCCTACAAGATGATACCGAGGTTAACAGACAATACCAAGTTATGAGCTATGCAAGTCAAAATATATGCCTAAACCATTTGATCAACATTCACGTGATTAAAAAATTATTTCCAAGAGAGATAAGTTTTACATGTATCAGACACTCAGTTTTGGTGCAAGAAGCTTCCTTGCATCCATGCATATCCCATGCTTATTATTCCCCTTTCCTACCATGCCAATAAGCACTTCAATAACCATTTAGTGGGAACATGAAGCAATGCCATGTAGATGTCCATGTCAAGAGTGATGAAATTGAGGTTCCACCATAAAACCAATAGGCAATATAAGGAGTAGCTCAAGATCATATAATCTCATAGCAAGACATGTCCCTCACTGATGTGGGATAAACTTTTCCTCACATAATCAAATCTCAACACGCCCCCGCACATGTGGCCGATTTTCAAGCCTACACATGGACAGCAACTGGGTGACGCATGAGCACATGTGGCCTTTGGGCTTTTACACGAGGGACAACCTATTCTGATACCATGATAAAATTGAGGTTCCACCATAAAACCAATTGGCAGTATGGGGAGTAGCTCAAGACCATATAATCCCATATCAAGACATATCCCTCACCGATGTGGGATAAACTTTTCCTCACATAATCAAATCTCAACAAAGAGCAAGCTAAAAAGCACATGAAGAACTAATCATGCCAAGTTAACTACAATCAAGTGACCATGCCGAGCTAGTCATTATACCTTGACAAACCTCACTTGAAAAGCACTGTCAAACAATCAAGCTAGGCCTAGAGATCCGCAATTGCAGAGCATGCATGGGAACAACAAAAGACAACAATGACATACTAAATTATGAAGAAAGACACTCTTACTGCAAGAAGCACAAGCCTAATTTCATTAGAGAAATTTGTGCCCATACTTTCAAGCCTTAGTACTCGCCTAAACATGACAAGCATCAAGACCCTAAAATCCCTAGTAAGCATGCAAGCATAGGAAAAGTCAAAAGAAAATTCTGCAAAAATTCTTCTTCAATGAAGCAATAGGCGAAAATTTCCAAAGAGAAGACATGCCCATCTCTCATGGAAATCAACAAGGAGAAGTGGGAAAGAATAAGGATTTGTCATTAGGAAAGAAGAACATTAAACTACTAGCCTTCAACCAATAACAACACCGAAAGTCTTTTTTAGGAAAATGAACTAAGCATGGATAACTATGAAAAAGATCATCATGCTGTCGTCAGTTTGCACACAAGGGAAGGGAAAGAGTCCCATCAGGCAAAATGTGTTTTGAAGTTTTGGCCCAGGATTTTATTTTTTGGCCCAATCCAATTCTCTCATAACCTAAACAATCACGGAGGCTAATGTTGGGGCCCAACAATCTCACCTACAAGCCCAATCAAGTCTCAAAGCCCAATATTTACAAAAGCTTCACAAGCTGAGCTTAAATCCATGCATACAATGCAAAACGAAGAGTATGCAAATTTATGATCATGCCACACTAATAAAATAATAGTTTATTGGACGCCAATCTTATGCAAATCATACATATTTATCGTGCCAAGCCGTATTGCAATATTAATCTATTAATATTATAACTTGAGTCACGCCAAGCATGTAACATGCTTAAATGAGCCTAAGCTACATAACGGGGCTTGCCGAGTGGTTCATGGAATTAGAATTGTGGAAGACTTTAGGTTGCTTGGGGGCACCAAAAGTCCAAGCTCATGATTTTGGATTCACGTGGGAAGGTTTGAGAGGGAACAAATCAAGTTTTCCCTTTCTCTTGCAAACCAACTAGGAACTTGGAAAACAACTAATGCCCAAAGTCGAGCTATCCAAATTAGAACCAAATCACAAGTTTACCTGAAGCCGCGCACCACATTACTAGAGAAAGAAGGAACTTTTCCTTTCCTTTCCCATCTTACACAGAAAAACAAGGAGAGAAAGCAGAGGGGAATGTTACCAAAGATGAAGTCGTATTGATTGACTTGGTGCAAGAAAGGTGTTGTGGGACTTGGTGCAGGAAAAGAGAAACTTTGGGCAGTATGCTCAAATAGGCTTCATGGGGCTCCTGGCCTCTACAATGTTATACCAAAAGGGAAACCTGTAGCTGCAGCTATGGAAAGAGGAAGGGAAGACTTAGCAAATTTGGAGAATGAGAAAAAGCCAAGGGATTCTCCTAGCTAGATCTTGGAAGGATACATGCTTCTATATATAAAAGGCATCAATATGCTACAAAAGGAGAGACAATCACGTGGGGGGAAGGAGAACGACAAGGGTAATAATGCACCAAGCAGAGCAAGCTTCTTCTAAGTGCAAGAAACCCTAATTCTTCAAAGATAAGTTTTCCTTTCATTCTAAACCTTCCAATAAGCTTCCTTACCTCCTGAAAAAAACTACAAAACCATAGAACCAAGAACAACCTCTCTCTCTCTCTCTCTCTCGCTAAATAAGTGGGATTTTGGCTTCGACACCATGCATCATTCAAGCAAGTCATAATTTATTATGATTACTCATTAATTCCCAATGTTTGTTAGTTTAACAAATACTCCTCAAAGCCACCGAAATCAAAAGGGAAACATTCGACTATTGAGGGAAGCACTTCGCCAGCGAAGGAAACATTCGACTAGCATGGGAAGCATTCACACTCATCGGAAGAGCTTCCATGGCTACGGGAAGAGCTTTCACAGCTGCGGAAAGAGCTTTCACGGCTGTGGAAAGAGCTTCCACAGCTATGGGAAGAACTTGAACTACCACAGGAAGCAACTCATCGTCGTTGGAAGCACTCAACATAACACCAAACCAAGCATCCAAGAGCTGCTGGAAGAACAACAAAGCATTCCCTAGGACTTGCTTTTTCTTTGGGATGCTTTGGGCTTAGTCCTCGCTAGGTTAGACATGAGGTAGGTGAAGGTTTTGGCTCGCCTCTTAATAACATAAGCACATCATAGCCCTTCGGCACAAAAACCACCCAACAGTTTTAAAGAAAGTTGAGCACTAATATGCTCTAGTACTACGAAAATTTTTATCAAACTAATTTGATAATATTAAAAATATTCTTAAAAGCACATATAATGTCTCTTAACTTTTCGAAATGGAACAACACTCACCATCCTCCCGTTTTAAATTCTCCTTTCACAAGGCAATCTAAATCTTGTTCACGCAATCTTCACAAGAGGGTGTCTGACGAAATTTAACATACTATGTGTTTGATTTATTTATTTATTTTTATATGGTTTTGTAGTACCAAGATATATTATAGAAACGATAAAGCACAATAACAAGTTTTTCAGGATAAGCACGTGGCAGCTTTTATATATATGATAACGAAAACATTTGTGAAACTGTAAGTATATCGTGTTTGATACTTCTTTGACATTGTCTTTGAAATTAGAAGACAATAAAGCCGTTGCATTTCCCTCCTTACATTCCCCACTCACCTTATCTCTTCATTAGTTGTTTCTCTTTGCTTTCCCTCCAATCAATCCACCAGAAGAAAAAAAATGAATCCAAAATCAGATTCTGATCTTCCTTTACTACTCAGCTCACTCAGTAACCAGAGAATTAGTGGCCTTGCTCGGTTCCAATGGCCACCAAATTAGGCTTCAATTTAACATCTCCAACCCCTTTTAACCCCTCTATTCAGAGACCCCTTGTGTCTGTTACTTCTCCCTCCTCCACTAGGGTTGAGTCTTTTCAGATCAGTGGCAGACAGCTATGCCTCCGCCTCCGCCGCCGCCGCCTTTTGGTACTTCCGGCCAAGGCTACTGCTGACCAACAAGGTTAGGATCATATGTCCATCTAAGCTTCGAGTTTGATTTTTTTGTTGTAGCCGCTTTAATTGTAGTTCTGATTAATAGTAAATGAAAATGATTCATCATGCAAAGCAATATTCTAAACTACGGGAACGGAAATTAGAATGTAAGTGCAAGGGGTGATCACACTATTCTGGTGAACTGGCTTATCCATTATAAAGGGTGTGCTAATTTATCAGCAAACAGATAGTATGTGGAAGATTCAATTTTTAATTCATTACATAGGTAGGGGCAGATTAGTAGGACCACTAACCTAGCCACCGCCATGAAAGAATATAATATAACAAGAATCTTCAATTTGAGATTTATTTTCTAAGTTTTAATGCAAAATGAATAAGGGACTTATTCATGACTCAGTCTTAAGTTATTTTAGCTTACACCATGGAGTGTGGACATTTTTTCCATATCAAGTTTTCTTGTACTATTTAATGAGTAATGTTATATAGACCACATTTATTAATCTCGTTTTTTATTGGTATGAGGGATCTTTTTTTTGTCAAATGATTGGTTTGTTAGATTAGATGTTAAATTAGAGAGCTAACGGGGTTTGAACATACGTAGTGGTGCAAAGGTAACACTTTTCTCCACCACTATGGTAGAGGACCACTTGCGTACAAGGGATCCAATTGCATAATTTGATATCATGCGAGTCTTGTCTCTGTGAAATTTTAATCAGCAATGTAGTCAATTCTTGTAAAAGTAGTCAGGAATTCTTGACGATATCGAGCTGGAGCAACCTGTTTTTCTTGAATACCTCGATTCAACGCCAAAGAATTTTGTGCCGCTACTAGGGATGGGTTCGGTTTTTTGCCAAAACTAAAACCAAACCAAAATTTCAGTTCGGTTCAATTTTCTTTCGATTTTCATCGGTTCGTTTTTTTTTTTTTTCAGTTTGATTTTGTTCAGTTCAATTCTTGTTATTTTTTATTTATAAAACCTGTTTTTTTATATGAATTTTTAGGGGGAAAAAAAAAAAAAAACTTGTATTGGTAAATTAATAATAAAAAAATGAAAAAAAGGGGAAAGTAACTGTACATATACAAAATCATATATTTAGAAATAGGCTTGTATTGGTAGACTAATAATCTAATAATTCATCTCAATAAACTGACCATGCAACTACAAGTACAAGTCTCAAACCATTCATGGCTTTTTTCCAAATGAAGTTATCAACTACAAGTCTCTGGCCTGCAACAGAAGTTTCACATAAAAAACAAAAACAATGACAAAGTCAGACTAAAAAAACAAATGAAGGTTCATAATAAATAAATAAAAGAAACAAGTGAAGGCGTCGTGTTTTTAAGGCTCAAATAATGTCGTGAGTCATAAAGGGATTCGGTTCGGTTTTCGAACCTCCAAAACTGCAATCAAACCAATAAAGTTCAATTCGGTTTGGTTTGGTTTTTCCTTTTTCGGTTCCTTTTTTTTTCGGTTTTGGTTTGATGGTCGGTTTGGTTTTTTTCGGTTTTTGGTTTTTGAACCCACCCCTAACCATACCGTAGTCATCTTTACTTGGTGATAAATAAGTAAGTTTTTTTTTTTTCTTTTTAATTTATACTCTTTGCATGGTTTGTTTTTGGAATATTTGCTGAGTCAATTCCAATGTCCTTTTTTCAGGCAAGGTCGAAAACGATGACGTTGTTGACAGTAAGATTCTGCCGTATTGTAGCATAGACAAGAAAGCGAAAAAGTCTTTGGGTGAACTTGAACAAGATTTTCTTCAAGCTTTACAAGTAATTTTACACTACATTTTAATGTTTTACAGTACTATAGTGTTTTGCTATTGAACACACTATGATTCTATGGATGAAGCGATGCAAGAAAGTACTAGGTCTGGATCTCAACCAAGGTTCCGATCGACTTAGTTCTTCGACCGCTTTCACAACTTATCCCGGTGGCATTTTGGTTACCTTCTTCAAGAAGTCAGCTAGTTTTTTATTAATTTGGATGGAACGTGTTAAAGGATGTTTGCATTTGAGATACTAACTGGTCTCTTCTTTTTTTTGCTCGTAAAGTCATTCTACTATGACGGAAAAGCTATTATGTCAAATGAGGAATTTGATAACCTCAAGGAAGAACTCATGTGGGAAGGCAGCAGCGTTGTCATGCTAAGTATGTACCGTTTCATTTGTTCAAAGAATGGGACTTGGCACGTCAATGTTTTGGGATTTCATAATGGTAATATTTCTAAGATTTATTTTCGGTTTCTGTTGTTTAATTTTACCATGCAGGTTCCGATGAACAGAAGTTTCTGGAAGCCTCAATGGCCTATGTGTCTGGCAAACCAATTTTGACAGATCAAGAGTACGATGAGCTGAAGCTGAGACTAAAGGTTAGTTTGTGCTGTTTTCATGTTTAGGCATGTAAAATATGATTAATGGTATACTTTCTTCTTGCCATCGGTCTACCGTTTCCATTTGCTTCAGTTGGTGAACATGATTTTTTTTTCTTTCCCAGACAGAAGGGAGTGATATTGTTGTCGAGGGTCCAAGATGCAGTCTTCGTACTAGAAAGGTGCATAATGCTGAGTTTTGCTCTTTCTCTATATATCCATCATATGAATTACCGTGTGTACGTTTAATTTCGTGGTTTTATAAGTACTGCATTGGTTTAAATGGTTCCTATGCATCATGTGCCGCAAAATGTGAACGTAATTACTAAATATCAAAAGGATTATCTCTTTAAGAAAAACATTTCTTCAGTTTTTTGTATTCGTGTGTTTGGTTATACATGTATGGATGAAAATCCATCACTTCAATACTGGATCTAAAGATTCTAAACGGGTGATTTCACTTGCTTGTTCCCCCAAACCTCCCTGCACTTCTGCAGATTGATTTACCATGTGAAAAGTTGTTTAAAGTTGTTATGTACTATTTGTTTTCAGTAAATTCTTATGTGTATTTGGATATTTAGCCGTCCTTTTTTCAACCTCTTATATAACTTTTTGGTGAGATTCCTTGCTAAAACTGAGTTGTGCTTGTATTGATTAACTTTCTCCCAACAGGTTTACAGTGACCTGTCTGTTGACTATTTGAAGATGATCCTGCTAAATGTCCCTGCAACTGTTGTCGCGCTTGCAGCGTAAGTCAACTTCTTATATCATCAAGCATACGCTTGAAACTCACAAGCTGATGACATGCAATAGATTCTAGGCGCTGTTATATGCTTGCTCCTTAACACGTAACCGAAATGTAGATCATTAAATCTGATGGCTCCAAAACCAACTGCTTAACCACTTCTCTTGTCGCTGAAGTTCTCGTCAAGTTTTCGTAGATGATATTGAATCTAGTAATTAACAAACATTTTTGTTTCCCCATCTGCTAGGTTCTTCTTTTTGGATGATCTGACCGGTTTCGAAATCACATATCTTTTGGAGGTATATTGGTTTAACCACATGAACTTTTGGTTTCTGTACGTATCCATTTTATGCTCTTTCAAAAAAACCTTTGGTAAATTCTTGGATTGCAGCTGCCGGAGCCATTCAGCTTCATTTTCACATGGTTTGCTGCTGTGCCTGTCATAGTTTATTTAGCTCAGGCACTCACAAAACTAATTATCAAGGATGTTTTGATCCTAAAGGTAGGTGTCTTGTCAAATGCTACCTTAATTTGTGGATACCCTATTGCTTTTAACATTTCACATTTATTTTTCTAGGGCCCTTGTCCAAACTGTGGTACAGAGAACTTGTCATTCTTTGGGAGCATACTTTCAGTTTCAAATGGTGGTTCTACCAACAACATCAAATGCTCAAAGTGAGTATAAAACTAATCACTGATTCTAGACAAAGCATTGCAGTCAATCATGCACACGTGAATGATTTCTGACCGTGTTTAGATACATGTTGACTCCACAGTGGAGCTCACTCGCACCAATAGTCAGAAATCATTCACGCATGTGCGAGAGCAACTGACGGTAGCATTTTTTTTTTTTTTTCTATCGACTTTCTTTGTTTTTCACTTGTGTGGTTTCATCTTTTGGACTTTACTTGGCTCCTTCATATAAGGAGTCATTCCTCCTTCATCGATAATGTGGCATCATTTCATTACAAAATCATAAAAATCCAAACCGTTCATTCTCTTTATCATTGTATAATGACTCATTTAATTTAGAAACTAGTTAGTTATTAGTATGAGTCAAAAAAGTTGGCGATTCACCGTGAAGATGTTATTTGTTACCGTTGGTTTGTTCAACACATAAGAAAAAGTAAATTATTTCCAAATTGATTGAATTTTTTTTAAAGAGAATCTTTAGACAATGACAAAGACAATGAAATGGTTTGATTATAATGTTTGCACGGTGAAATGATGTTGATTATAATGTTTGTACAGTAAAATGATGTAACGTCGTCGTTGAAAGAGGAATGGCCGGAGTCAAGCATTATACTTTTCTCTTGATTTGGATTCTACGCTTCTTTGGACATGATTTACAAAAGTATTGCTTCCATTTAATTTTAACTGTGATGAGTAACATTTTACTGCAGCTGCGGAACTCCATTGGTGTATGATTCAAAGTCGCGCCTGATCACGTTGCCGGAAGGAAGCAATGCTTGACTAGAATTTGTGCCAAGTTTTTTCTTGTGCTGAAGAAGAAGAAGAAGAAGAAGAAGAAGAAGAATATGTACTTTTTTTTGTTTCGTGAGGTCTCTCCGGAACATCTCAACAGTTGATTGTGCATATGAATACAAGGTAAGAGGAAGATGATATCATATGATCAGACGGTTCAGTTTTACTCTTGTGCCCTACATAAGCCTGTAGGTCGGAAACACAGTTGCCGGTGCGCGAAACTTAAAAAATAACTCAAATTCAAACGGCCTCCAGAAAAATGAGAATCAAACCAAACCCTAATCGCGACAAAACATGTGACGCTCCTTCCCACTCGATCCATCCGAAATGCCGCCTCCGAAGAATCATCAGTGCTGATGCTACAGCCATCTTCTCTATAGGATCGCCACGTCCAAATAATCTCCTATCTACATAAAATGATAAGATGTGAGAACACCCCCTTTTTGGGTCAAACCCAATAGACTTTGACATAAAATTTCAGTTTACCTGAAAGTTCAGATCATTCAGTGCCTTGCTTTCATCCACTTGTCTCCCGTTTCCATGAGAATTCCTCATCCCAACCTTAGAAACCAAGAAATACACGATTTTAAAAATAAATAAATAAATAAAAAAGGAGAGGGGCAAAAGTAGTTCTCAATTGTATGTGCATGAGTACTTCTCGATTGTGTATGTACCTAAGCTTAATTGTTTTGTTTCCCACCTCGCTAAATGCTGGAAAACGAGTAAATATCGTACTGCATACGCACCTGTAGACTACCTCCAAATGTAATGGAAGATAAATTTCAAAATAAAAAGAAAAACGAGGGGACAACAAAACCAACTGGAAAGAATTTCTCGGGATCTGATCAGTATGAGAAATAGTAAGGAATTTTCTAAAACAGCAAGTTTTAAACTAACAATTGCATACAACAGTTGAAATACAATTTCACATGTTTTTACCGCAAAGAGGTGAAAACACACAAAGCAATATCGCTTTTCCTATTGAGAGGATTTATTATTTTGACTTGAATGAGCATAATTTTGAGTTGAAGCACAAAAGAGGACTCATTTATCCGTAGAGTGGATCATAAAGAAATTGGTTCTTGGGTAATCTATCTCATCTTGATACGTGGATTTGAAGATCTACAATTGAAGGTAGCAAGTACCTGTTTCACCACAAAGCGACCGTGCTTATCAGGGTATACAAACGCAAAAGACAGTCTAGCACTTCTACTAGCCTCTGGAGCAATCTCTTGGACCTGAAAAACAAAAAAACTAGAATTACCTCGGAGCAAGTAATCTAATGTTATCCAACCAAATATAGGAAAGATGATAGGATGGCATGACATTATGAAATACAGATAACGTACAAGATCAGTTAGCTCACGAAGTTTTGCATCTTTCCGTGTATAAATTTGAACCTTATCTTTTGGTTCATTGCCTCTCACCGTAAATTCTACCTCACTGTGATGAGCCCCAATCTGCCAAAGGAAATAGTTAAAAGTAAATGTAAAAGGCTGAAACGGAATGTCAGCACCCAACCAATATATCCTTATATTAACATCACGATCCCAAACTTCCAATACCGCCAACTTCTCCTACTTCTCAATAGTAACACGCGTTCGCAATTCTACAAACGTTTCCCCATAATCCGAAACAAAGTCTTAACGGTTAGTAACCCAATGCACTTTGTTTCCCTACTTAACACTATCTCAGAATCATCACCAAAATCTTCCATTCAACTGATTTCAGAGTCTAATTAGAGCAATAATCTTCAAGGCTAAGATAAGCTGAGAAACGATATAATCATAACAACCTAAATATTCAATCCTTTTCCCTTCACTCTGTCAACTGGGCAAAAATTATACCACCCCAATAGCTTCCTAAGTCTATCCTCTGCAACAAAATCAGCAAAACCCGCTTCGAATCGAATACCTCTGAAGTAAATAAGATATGGGTTTTTAAAAAATCTGAATTTCCAGCCAAAATCATTAACTCCAATTACTTAGAGGCCAAATTTCACAAGCATAAAAGATTACCAAAATCACTAAACAATTAAAACCAAAACTGCAAAAAAATAACCTGTAGAAAACAAAACACTGGGGTTGCACATACCTTAGTGAAAACCCGAAGGAGCAGAGGGCAAGTCTGCATTGCATACAAAAACAAACAAAGCTTTTCATAAATATATCATATAAACCAGCAAGAAAAAAATTAATAATAAATTAAAATTTTGAAAAATACAGAAACCGTAAAGAAGTAACTAGCAGAGCTCAAAGTTAAAGAGAGTAACTTTTCGCGGTCGATGGGTTCCGAGTGGGGGCGAGGTGGCGGGGGCGGCGGACCCCTGGAATGAGGCGGGGGAGGAGGAGGGAGCTGTCTTCAGGGTGGACCTCGGGTCTGGGGCCCCGGCCCGCCCATCTTTTCGTCTAAGTTTCTCTCTTCTCCATCGTTGAAGTCCTAGCTTGAGAACGATTTCGGGTTTTTAGGTCGGGTTTTGGAGTTGATGTTACAGAAATTTACCATCCAGAAATTTTTCATTATGATCGAGACACAAAGGGTACATCATATGTTTTTATATAAATGATAGAAAATTTTATTTTTTAAGTTATTAACTTTGTAACGCACATATCTCACAATTTGTATAGTCATACGTGATGCACCACCCGTGTACCGGTTGCAAAAAATTTCTCTTCAAGATGAACTCCAATTTAATTATCATATGAAAGAAAATTAAGTCTTTTTTTTAGAAAAATCAGTCTTTGAATTATAAAAAGAAAATTTTATTTAAACACATATAACCTTTTACTACATCCAATTTAAATTTTAAATATTAATTGTCTAATTCTAGTATCACCCTTTATTTATCTTATGTTCATTCCGACTAAAACTCTAATAGCTCAACTAATACTTGCACCATTCGCCAAATTCATCAATTGCCATGTACACATGAGATTGCAGAAATATAGAAGGATTGGTAAGCCAATCCCACTTGAGGCTCTTCATCCACATTGGAGAAAATTAGATTTTATCAATTTGCCAAATAGTAGTAAACAACCAGTTCCTCCGGAAAAGTCACGAGTAAAGAGACACTTCTGCAAGTCTCATGATAGGGAATTTAACACAACGTAAACGGGCTAAAAACTCCTATAATACTTGCAAGAATGACAAGATTATTGTAGTATAAATGGATCTCGTAAGGTCGTTATCCACAGGGATTATTAAAAATCGAAGCAAACCAAATTCCAATTAATTATTGTAAAGCAGAAAGTTGAGATTATTGATTTTTATAACATAATTTAATAAAAAGAATTTAATTAATAAAAGAAACTAATATGCAATATTAAGGATGAAGAAAAAGGAAACAGTTTTGTAGAAATCAAATTAAAGAAAGCACTAGGGTTCCACCATCACCTAGCAATCCTATGTATTTTTACTAATTACTTATGATCTACACATGCCACTTTGAAAATTAGGTCTTCCTAATTTATATTCTACTTGGAACCTCCAACATATAACGTATGCCTAACATGCAACCCGTCCAGACATTTGGATCAAATCTGAACATGAAAGACTCACTATACTCTATGAAAACCTTTTGAAAAACCATGCAACCCCTAAGATGTGGTGTTCATCTTAAGCAAAATTACAATTATTAACCACATGAAGCCAGCGCCAATTTCAGGGAACCTTCCGACCAAAATTGCATCAAATTACTTTTCTAAAAATCCTAATGGTGATCAGGCATTAAGACAATTAGATAGTATTAATCACAGTGATTAGTAATTCAAAATGTACATGCAATCAATCATAAGCAATGATTAAAGTGAGTTCAAGGTGAGTGAACTCATGATGGTGGTCCACGACGGAATGCACGAACACGGCGAAATCGACGTCGTGGCTTCGGGACACCCACGACACAAGTTTGTCGTGAAACAAGACCAAATCAGCTCCATTTTTGGTGGAAAATTGCAAAGGGAGTAACGACATGAGGATTGATGGTGGTAAATCATCTCAATTCTTCGGGAAATTGATGAATTTCACCATAAATTATACGGGGTTGCGATAGGGAAACGGGTCGCCCGGATCTTCCTCCTTTTCCTCCTTGCTCATTCCCTGATTAGGCAGTTTCCCACCCTTTTCTCTCCTTTCTCTTCTCTCCTTTTCATCTCAACCAGTTATCTATCTCATTCCTCTTCTTTTCTATTCATCCCCCAGCCACACACGTGGCACAACTCATTACACCAGAAAATCTGGAGCCTTCTAGATTAAAGTAAAATTACTAAAATGTCCTTAACTTTAAACGTTAATAATTCATTCGTTATAACTTCGTTTGTCGAACGGTTTTCGCCTACACGCTCGTAGGGTCGAGCTTTATTCGAAAATATAAAAGGAATGAAAACACCTTAGAGTAGAAAATTTCCAAGAACCCTAGCAAAGTTCTTTGTCTCCGAAGTTGAATAATAATAAGTGTAGAAAAGACTAAGAACGGCAAAGCAATATATTTGCTAAGCCATAGCACAAACCCTAAAAACAAGGTGCTTTATTCTAACTAGGAAACTAAATAATAATAAAATATCTTAGAAAATAAAGTCCTAATTAAACTAGGAGAATCTACATAGAAACTGTCCAGCCATGTTTTATCCTCAAATCTCCTCCAAATCCAGCCCATAATAGCTTATTTTGAAGATCAGGACGTTTTGAACACATCTTCCAAAGGCCATGAACCCATCCGAGGTCATCTTAGGCTCCAAAAACGCAAGTCAAGCCCAAAACGTCACTATTCCAGCATTGCACATTGCTCCTTTATTTTATTGCCAGAAAATCATCGTTTGGTAGAAAAATCTGATATTTTGATACAATCAAGCTAAGTGACTCACGATCGTCCTCCAACTAGAATTACTTCAAAATTCGTCCATTTGACCATGTTTTTCTCCAGAAGAAGTCGAAAGTCCTATATTGGAAATACAATTCAAAGTATCAAAATTCTTCCAAAATATTAACAAAAATATACTAAGAATAGGGTTAAATATATAATATAAAATATACTCATCATCTCATAATTGGAAAATTTCCAAGGAGAAATACCAATGTTCTTAGATTATAAACTTACTTGCTCGTTGATAACTAGAAGGGGATTAATTGTTTGATTTATTGCTTATGTGCATCAAAAGAAGAAAAAAAAAAAAGCAAATGTCTGGGTCTAGTAGCAAAAAGAAAAAAAGCAGTACATAAATCCTAGTCATATACGACATATGCAACTATTCAGCTCACGGTGGGAGGGGGGAGTCAAAAGGTGCATCTTCGAAGGAAAAACAAATTACTTAGAGATGTTATTTTATAAAGAGGATAGGTGTAAAAATAATTTTACACTTTGAATTGGATTTGAAATGGTAGTTTAGGTAATAAATTTGGGTTTAAAGAGATCCTAATTATTTAAAAAAAAAACAATATGGGTGAAGATAGTAAGTTAAAGGCGCGTTTACTAATCCGTAATCAAATTGAGAATAATTGAATTGAGTAGGAATTGGATTGAGGAGGAATTGGAATGAGGTGGAGTCAAAATCGGATTCCTATTGAAATTGTTTACTTAAATGTTCTGGAATTGGATTCGACATGACATTAATTTCATAAAGTTGTTTACTAATTTAGCAAAATCAGAATATAAACCAGTATGATTACTAAAATGCCCTTGTCCCAAATCAAATATTTTATATACTTTTTTTAATAAAATTTGATATAATATATAATAGTAAGAAAAAAAAAATTATTTAAATTTTAACAATTCCCGTGTTTGTTATTTTTAATAAAACTTGAGTTCTGTTTACTTTTTTTTTTCTTTTTTTTTCACCTTTTACTATTTAAAGAGTAAAAAACGCATTCGACAAAAAAAGTTAAAAACCCAACAACAAAAATAACAGGAGTTGGGAAAGTTTCTGGAACGTTCACGGTTCCACTTCCACCATAACCTTTTTGACTCTCCCCCCTTTGCCTCCTCAATTGATTTTTGCGATCATCTCCTGACCTTGTTCTATCGGCTTGAAAATCTCCTTTTGTCGGGTCATCGAGTTGTAAACGATGAACTCCTTGTTGGCAACCATTCTTGGATCATCTCAATGTGCAAATCATAAGGTTTGCTTTTATCTATATACTCCTCTGCATCTGTCTCTCCACAACTGGAATGGAATCTGTGACTGTCCAAAGTTTGTTGGTAGAACTATTGGGGTCGATTGGTGGTGGGTCTTGGCAGTATAGGAGGTGGTGCGGTGGTGTGGGTTGATTAAGGTGGGGGGATGAGTGTGCTTTTCGTGGTTGAACCGTGATGAAAGGGGGCAGGGTAATTTCAGTAGAGAAGTCTAATTCTGGAAGTTGGCTTTCTTTTGGAATTCAAATACCTCCTCCAAGTTGGTAATTGGATTCCGACAATATTAGGAATCTGATTTCTAAGTTTAGGTGGAGCCCACAAATAATTTCATTCCCAAAATTTAGTAAACGCCGGAATCAGTTGGGGAAGAATTCAATTCCGTTTCTTCTACCTCCATTCCGATTTCATAAACAGGCCATGAGTGTAATAAGAGGTTACATGGGTTCAAATGTAAATTATATTTTAACCCCTCAAGTTTGGACAAAATTACAACCTCATACAACATTATTAAAACATTTCAATTCCATACTATCATTTAATTTCAATATCATACGTTCTGTTAAAAAAATCTGTTAACTCAACCGTTAAGTGATGATGTGGCACATATGAATTAATAAAAAATAATTAATTAATAAAAAACACATTGGGCCCCACCACCCATCCATCCACACCTTGTATCATTCCCATCTATTCATCCCCTTCGTTCGTCCCCTCCCTTCACCACCAAAACTCAACTTCCCCCTCTGTTTTTTCCCTCTCCGTTTGCCCCCTCCGTTCACCACCAAAACCACATCTACATACTAATTCCTTCCCCTTCCATCCGTCCCCCTGCCTTCGGCCCCAAAACCACATATGCACCCTTGTCCTCTAATCCAAAACCCTCGAAATCACACCCAATTCTCTGCAATTCAATCTTCTCTCTTTGCGATTCAAGCTCGTAAAAACCCTAATTTCAACTACTCCAACTCGAAGCTTCCCACTATCTCTCTACGATTCAAGCTAAAAACAC